AATAAAAACGATTTATAATGTTCTTTAAATTTTGCCAGTTATCTAGTGCTGTACAGCTCATTTAGTGTGACTAACTTACGTCGGCAAATTTTAAAGTTAACCGTTACAAAAGATCATAAATTTTATCTTGGTGCAAAAACCAGATTAGATTCATAGTTTATTCACGATTACTTACACTTAAATGCACGTATTCAATGTCCTTAACAATAGTTTATACTCAGACCTTGGTCAAGATTGAGTAGGTATATTTGTTTACATCTTGAATTTTCATATTATTAACTCTGTATTACCGTATTTTATAAGTTGACACAATTCTGCTAAATGGCTGGACATTAATTGACTTTGAAAATTATTTTTTTTTCGACACAATGTTATAGAGTATTTCACTACTCAGATACCAGTGTTCATCAAATTAAAAATATGTATAGATTAATAATCCAAAAAGTATTTGTAAGCCTAGTTATTAATAAAAAAAGGGATTCGGCAAACTGCAATTTAAAGAAGCGCAAAATTTCTTTTTATTTTTATCTATAATAGTTCAACTATCTTAAAATTATTCTTTGATAGTCGTTTTAAGTGCAAGTATTTTAATAACACTTTTTAAGTCCATTTGATATCTATAAATACATTCTACCCAACACAAACGTGCGCTGAAACCATTACTGTCACTCAACTGGCATTCAGACACAAAATACGGCATTATTTTCTAGTTTTCTGTAAAAAGTGTTCTATTCATCGACTGACTTAGTTAAATATCTTATTTTAAACCCTTTTATCTGGAGAAACTGTTCTTCAAAATTCTTATTTCAATAATTTATGAAAAATAGTTGTTTTATTTTGAAAACCGGAAATCTGTAAATTTAAAATTGGGAACACAAAAAATATAATAACTTTCTAATGAAAAGTTGAAATTAATCCATTATATCACAATTTTCGAGTTGTGTCCGATCATTATTCTTGTTCTCATGAACTGCATAGTGAAACGCTAGCTTATGGAAATAAACGAAAGGTGTGCAAGTCGTACTCCACTATAAAAATCCGGTCGATTCTTTGCGTAACTGTAGTGTAAGCTTGAATTTTTAATGCTTCAATTTAATTCTAAAATTTGTAGTTAACTTGGTTAAATTTCTAATGCGATCATTTTGTTAAGTAATCATGTACGACATGAACTGAAAACATTAAAAAGTAATTCAGGATGCCGTCACTTCTTCTGCAGCAAAATTAGATTAAGAACGTGAAATCAGCATGAAATTACAATCTATGAGACTACAATTACGAGCATTCGAAGGAAATTGGCAGAAATGTGTTACTAATACGTTAACAGCAAGTGCAACCAATTTTGAACAATTAGTGTCTCCATAATAAATATAAGTATATTATTTGTTTTTGTGTGCGTACTTGGCAAATATTTTTAAAAATGATTGTTAATTTTCACGTTTGTATATTATATTAAATTCGAAATTGTTGCGACAATTGCTAAACAGTTATATAAAGCTGCCGAAATATTCACAAAGCCGTATAACTTATTTGCGCAAGCAGATCTCACACGTAAAAAAAAAAAAAACGCGATCATCATAAATTCCACTTTAATTAATTTTGGAGCATCAAATCCGTTTAAATTATTGGGCAGGTTCTGTCCAAACAGTGATATTTTCTGATTGAAATTTGCAATAAAATGACAAAGCCACAATGCATGCACATGAACAATCATAAAATTTGTGATTGCAGTTTCCGCTACCAATCATTCTCGTAACAAGCCTAATTTAGTGCACAGAAAAACGTTTCGTAAATGTTAATCAGTTAATTAATCAACTTCACGCAAGAACACAATTTTTGTGTAATGCTTTAATTAACGTTCAAATTTTAGAAAGTCCGACCAGATTAGATGAATTTTTAACATGTTATTCCATAAAAGACATTTCAAACATTCGGTCGAACTTTGCATGTAACTAGATTGTTGGCAAATGCATCAATAACGTCAAACAAGCAAAAGCATAATCGAAAAATATTTTGTTTGTTTTGCCGTTTAGTGCGTCTGCGTCAATGGTGTCGCATCAATTTATCTACACAGCACACAATTTATTGACCGAAAAAAATCTAAATGGTTATATAGGGCCGTAACGGAAAATGCTCCGTTTTATTGGTTGTTAAACGAAGTCGTAAAATCGAGGCCTTTACTTGTGTGAGTTAATTAAATGCTTTCCAATTTGGTTAAAACAACTTAAATGGGAGATCGCTTCATCGTTGATTTTTTTCAGTGTATTTTCTCTAATTACACAGTCTCTCAGTTTCCATTTAGGTGTTTATGAACTCATGTGATGAGAAATTGTTATTCCTTGTGTTTTGTGACTGTTTTTGATTATAAAATAAAAGCTTTCAATTAATTTATTTGATTATTTGTTTCAGATAATTACTGCTGTTCAATAAACCTACAGTAAATAAATAACAAAGTCACATTTAACTTTCTCTTAAATATGGTCATGAATTACACATTACCTGAAGCAGTAATTTCGTATATAAATTCTCTAAATTCTGTAAGCTTTCAAGAATGCGTGTTATATTGCTTTGTTATCCTTGTGTTGCGATATTACTTTTTCCGTAGTATGGAACGATAACACCTACATGATATGAAAAACCGTATTAACCCCTATTTAGAGGTTTCATAAGTAGGACGATAAAACGATTAAATGAAAATCGATAGCAAATTCTTGTATTAAAATTGGCAGAAATGTGTGCGTATGCATGTACAAGAATAATAATAGGCCATGTAATATTTACGAAAAATTTGTGCCCCAACCTCGCCTACATAGAAAATAGAAAAGCCAAACATCACTGTCGGAAGTACAGTTTACAAGGTATAAAAGGATAAAATATTATATCTTATGTTTTATACAAAGTTTCAGACAACCAGCAAACTTCTTAGCTAATTTACATTTAATTTCTTTCGTTGGCTTTCTCCCGCTTCCGCTTCAGTGTATCCGATGGATTTGTTTTCATGCCTTAAACGATTTATTCCTGTTAAAACACATCGGTATTACAACACTTCTGAAATACCCCACACGTATTCATCGTGGACTCCGACCTTATTCGATAAACAAAATAATTTAATTTTGATCAATGTTTGGTTTTTCTGGAGAATTTACGTTTCATCAAAATTTCCTAAAAATAATTACGCTGTGTGAGCGTATTTTCCCAAAACAACATGGTAATAATAATGAAATTTCATCGACATCGGCAGACTGGTTTTATTTGTAATTAATTTATCCCCATCTGTTTAAAATTCAAATGTGATTAAATACTGCAGTTAAAAAGTAAAACAGTTTATTCAAACTGCAGCTGTTCATAATTCAGCTCTCTGAAAATTAAGCAAATGAAAATAATTTTACAAAAACGTACCTATTCTGCGTCAATGTTCAGTTTATAGCAAATTGTATTCATTTCAGTAATTGCCGGCGGGCTATTTTATTGCAAACATAAACAAAATCAACGATAAACTGAGATAAACGGTTATTCGACGTAATTTAAAGTCAAATTTCGGTCGTAAATTAATTATTTGTCTGAAACCATGCCAATATATAAAATGGCGAAAAAGAATTTGCCTATGATGCTCTATAACAGCAGAATAAAAACAAATTACCAATAAATTCATCACATAAACACATCTGAAACAACACATTGTTCAATGAAATACTAAACAAGGTCGGAGATTAAGATAATAGAGCATGTTTGTTTATTTATGTTATAACATGCAAATAATTAAAGCAAGTGGCAATTTTATCGCATAAATATTGATATAATATTACGCTGAGGTATAATGATAAATGCGGGATATCAATATTTATCATTCGCGTTCTATGAAATTTAATGAAAAAAGCTACGCGCAACACTCCTTTATCTCATTATTTCGCCGATGAATCAATCATATAGTCATTAAAACAACTCATTCGAAGACTAATCAACCACACTTTTAATCTCCGATCATGGGAAGTTTCAGCTAAACTAATCACTCCATGACCCAAATTAATTTTCCAGATATGGCTTCGTTCCATTGTACTATGTATTTTGCTCAAATCCCTCCGGTCTCATAAATATTAATAAATAATAATAAATGAATTTTGCAATGTCAATTCAATCAAAATGCAAACATTGTCAATAAAGGTAGGACAAGTGGAAATGTTGCTCAATCATTTTATTCTCATTTGCTTACGTGCAACTGAATCTCAAAAAACACATTCATTAGTTCTTTCGGCGAAACATATCATTCGTATTTTCCATACGGATCTAGTGAAAAAGCTTATGAAATGATTTTATCTAGGTCAGGTGAAAAATTCAGCTTGTCGTGCACACTCGGTTATCGTAACGGCGAAAGTCCTGGAAAAGGATTATTGCTTTATTAGGCAATATGCCAGCCGCATCTGCAAATTTTTTGCTGATAAAACCCTTTTATTCCGACCACTCTTCATGTCAGATTTAATCTTTGAATAAACATCAAACCTGATTCGGACATTAATTGATTATACGTCCTTTCTTTTTTGGACATTCAATTTCGTAGAATTTTGTTCGGTGTTTTTCATCCGGGACACTCAAGCATACTCGATGTTTCATGCAAACTTTTTTTGATACTCAATAAGGCATGCCACTAACTATAATAATTTAAAAGACTAACGGTGCAAGCAAGCAGCAAACAATTATAGATAAATTGAGGCTATTTGCGATTGACGTATTTGCGGTGTCAACAGAAAGCTATAAGTAGGATCTAAACGCGAATCTAAACGAAAATCGATGGGCCATGCAAAAAAAAGTGCAAATTGTTTGATTTAATGTTTTAGAGTGGAGGTCAAATTGAAACTGTACTTACCGGTTCTTTTGCGATGAGATGGTAACACTTCTAGTATGAATTTTTTCGTAAAATGCACATTGTTTGAAGTTTTCACAACATTAAATATACACTTAGACGTTTCACACCGGCGGCGACGGGTGGGTTGAAAATAAAACTATAGTTCATTCTATAAAAACAGTAACACGTTTTATTCATATTTTATAAGCGTATTTTCACTATGACTAGCTGTACAATATATATAGCAATATTTTATACATATTCACAATTTTTTTCAAACCGGCACAGGAATACAGGCCTGTAGCCGATTAGGTTTTTTTTCAGTTTTATATATACAGTTGATAGATATTTCTTTGGTCTAGTAGTAGCCATAGAACGAATAAATTTTAATCAGATCTTTACTATTGATTGCGGGAGAAGATGCCGGCCCAAAACATCCCCCGAAATAAGTCTAGTCGAACGATTTGATACGAGTTCGAGCTACAAAAATAAAATCTACGAGTCAAAAATATTTTAAAATAGTTTTTCAGTTCTTTTCCGAGGATTTATACCCTGAAATTTTTAAGCCGGCAAGTTCTGCCACTCGAATTTTGTACATATAATAAGTTAGTTAGGTTATTTGGTATACTGTGATAAATACGAAGAGTGCTGCACCGTTCCGAGGACACCGAATCGTCCTTGGAATGATGCAACGCATGATAATTACATGAAATGCTCTCGGCACTTAATCAATATGGCATCATCAATTTGCGACCCCACAATTGGCATTTTCGAAAGTTTTTGTTCATATAAATCAACGGAATGCTACCATTATCAACTTAAAAAAATTACAAATGTACAATTCGGTAACGAAATTATCTACATTTCCCTTCGAACTAATTACAAAGAAAAAAAAATCAGTCGATTCACAAAGAAAGATTACGGGACAATACCCTCAAAATCACTAAACAACAATCTTCCATGACTGCGTGCTTCCATCCGACGGAAGTTTCTGAATAATTAATTTCATTTCTGATGATTCAACAACAAACAACGTGAAGGTCATCGAAAATTGTTACAAAAGGTCGACCCCAAGCGTTTGCGACACGTTTCCAAAATTTGAGTAAGTCATTATTGTACAAAAATGATTCTTAGAAAATGTATTGTCTATATGCTATAACACCGATTAAAACCCGTAAATATTCTGCCGTGGAGAATTTCTTGGTGTATGTTACAAACACTAATCCTAAAACTAGTGAAAGACAGAAGGTTACGCTAGACTTGTCTAATTTTACATGTAACAGCTGTATGCACAGGAAATAATATTTAACTTCCTATCTAAATAATCAACATAAAACGTAAATATTTCATGTGATAACAGCGATATTAATAAATAAATCCGCTGAAAAAGCGGACTCTGTTGTCACTTCTATTTCGTTATCAGTTCTATTTACTCTTTCCTGTTGGACTCGATTTGCAAACCCGTCTATTGATTTTCTTTTTTCGCAGATTTGGCCTGGCAACGGACATCGCAATTTACATATTATAGCATAAAATTATACAGGAATTTTTTCAAGACTAACGGCCCGACGACAAATTTACAAATCGCAAAGTCGGCTGTAAATTTGAAAGATGCGTGCTATTGTATTTTATTATTCCATAAATAATCGCTGATTGGGGCTAACCGGGACACGAAATTTACAACTTTGGAAAACAGCAACACGAATATGTACAGAATCAAAATTATACCTTACAACTAAACGTAGTATGACACTGGAACTTTCAACCACAAAAGCGGACCAAACATGGATTAGATCGACGGCGCTCTAAGCCTTTCTAATTATTACGTGGAACAAGCATTTATTTAATAGCTATGACGCGTACATCTAATTAGGTGGTGAGTACGTGATTGATAGACCGCAAACTTAAAAGGTTTTAGGCTTCTACTTCCGCAAAACGTTTGGCATCAAGTAAAGATTCGAGAATTTTGAAAAAATGGCAAAAATTTAATCGCTTTCGGACGAGGAGAAGAAGAAGAAGAAGGAATGTTATTATATATCGTGAGTGATCTCGTCTATGTGGTCTATTCCATGAATGTTAGGTTTTTGCGGAAGGACGACTATCAATCGAAAGCGGCTTTGGCGAGAGAGGTGTCTCGTAAGTTCGGGGTTTCGGTGTTGGGGAGGATCGTGTCGCATACGCCTGGGCATCCTTAGCAACAGTAACGCAATTGGCGGCGAGACAGGATAATCCAAAAGAGAACGAGAAATCCAAATAGACGGCGGTTAGGTCGCAGTTGCACAAACACAGCTGATGTGGAGGAATCACTACCACGCCCGGAGCACGACGCTTGCGCTCTTTCATCTCCGTCACAGAATTACACACTATTATCACAAGAAGGGTTACGGACACCACAGATGCTACGAAAGGATCCGTACAAAAGTCGTCGAAATCGGCATAATCATATCACAGCGATCACACGTTGTAGCACACCTGCTGGATCTGCGGAAAGGTAGAGGCCAGCGGTATGGCAGAAGTCACGTAGGGGTGCAGTCTGTGGGCCCTCAAGTACTGTCGGTACTTGCCGGAGAGGATGTGCTTGTCCTCGGGCCGATCCGGGCTGCGGTCCGGGTCGGTCCAGTGGCCCGAGTCGCTGCCGGAGCTGCTGTAGGTGCCGCAGGCCGAGACCAGCTGGTCCCTCTTGCAGTAGGCCTGGGAGATGGGCACCAGGTTGGGCATCTGCTCCCACAGCTGGCGGTCGGCGGCGTACTGCACCGGGTACTGGGCGGCCGGCTGAGGCTGCGGCTGTTGGTGGCGGGCGCCCCGCCGCTTGGCGGCGGCGGTGGCGGGTTGGGGCTGCCGCGGCGGCAGGTTGTTGACGAAGGGGCTCCGCCGCTGGCTCTCGATTTTGCGGAAGTAGCACGGGTGGATCATGAGAAGAGGTTCGTTGCGGACCCCCTGCGGTGGCTTGGCCGTGTTGGGCAGCTCGTATTCGACGCTGCAGTCGACGTGCAGCGGCCGGGAATAGTCCTTCTGCACAGGCACTTGCACCGTCCTCTGTGGAGGAGACAACTCATACGCAGGGTAACACGTCGCCATCGCGAACTTTGCTGACCGCTGTTCGGTCCTCGACTGAGCTTCGGCGTGCAGCTCCGTACTTGCCGAGGAGGAGAACCCGTGCTGGTGGGGGTAGGAAATCGATGCTCCCGACATTCTGACTGTCTACGAGTACGTCTGTGTCGAGACTACGTCATGGGCTGGTCTGTCGGTCGCCAGGGCCGCCAACATGCGTGAGGCCGACCGGCTCAATCACCGACGTGTTCTAATTATTTACCGAGCGCACTTTACGACACAACCGGAGATAGTGATTAACTTCGTTACGTCACACGCGTAATTGCCCGCTCGGACTTTTTCCTACTTATTACTAATCCTACATTTTATTTCGTGCTATCTCTCTCACTTCTTACGATAAATAATCATCCTACATTCATTAAATATTTTCGCGTACGCACTTCCGAAATTCCGACTTCCGCATAAACAACGATATTATGGAATACCATGTAATTAATATACGACAAGATGTTCATCAAATTTAAAAACTCGCTTGGAATTACTCCATAAAATAAATTAAAACTTAAAATTACATCAACTTCTCAAAAATATTCGGAAAAAAACCTGATTTTTTATTATAAATTTACATGGTCATTTTTTCTTCTTAAGAAAAAAATTAATACCTAATACTAATACGTAATAATAAATTTAACTCTTTAGAATACATGCATTTTTATTTCTTAGACTTTATGTTAATCTTTAAAAATTAATCTGCTCTTATAACAGGGATTCCCCGCAATTTGAGTCAAAAATTTTGTTATTACTCCTAATAATTAGAGTCACCACTCTTCAAAAATTACGTGTCATCCAGAGACCGAATTATTAACCAAAAAAATTAATAAAAAAACTACCACATTAAGACCAAAGAACCACATTAGCATAAAAAACGCGAAAGTAAAAATACTAACCAAACTAGATATATTAAAAACAAAATTAAAAAAAAGTGGGATGCTCAATAATTATAGTTTATAAAAAAAATGGTAGTTTATTAAAAGTTAAAAGCATCTTATAATAGTAACAACATTGAAAATATAGATTAACAACATCTTTTTATATTTTTTTAATTTCCCTTTTTAAAAGCTTATAGTTTATTAGATGATTTTGAATTTTTATTTAAAGCAATTTATAACGGCAATATACCATAGTTTTTGTGCATATGACACCAAAAACAGTATCACTTACCTGTAGCTAATGAATTATTAATTATGAAAACTAACTCATTTACGATAGTTTAGAAACAAAAGAGGATGACATATATCACGTAAACAATACAAAGAACTAAAAATCTGAAACGGGAGGCTAAATCCATTAAAAAAAATTTCAGCGCCAGATTTATTATTATCGTCTAGCTATCTTTGAGGTAGTTCAAGTTACATGGAAAAAGTTTTAATCTAATTAAACGATCAGTACCACGTATGTTTAAACTAGTGCCCATAAAATTTTGTCTTTAGTTTTTGACTTACTGCAGATTGCATAACATAGTGTGTGTGGCGCTTCAGCCAACACTAATCTTTTTTTTTCTCCAACGACACACCAAGGAATCAGACTAAGTAGTGCTAACTGCTAGTAGCCCATTAATTTTGTGGTATTAATCACCCATTAAAATATTTTTCCAAAGGTCAACAGGATATCGACAGGATTGTTTTGAACAGAGAGTTATAAATGCTGTTATAATTAGCGATAATTGCAGTAGTTAAAATATTTGTTGACAATTTAAAAAGTCTGTCAAGTTGTTTACACCAAATTTCCCTTGTTTAAAGAGGTAAAGTTTGGTGGCCTAACTTTATTTTTGGATTTCTTTAGCAGAGTGCCAGAAATGCTTTGTAATTAGTTTCTCGAACCTATTTCTGCTAAACATAGTGAAACACTGCCTTTTCAGTGGTCATTCGAATGTTTTTGTATATACAGGGTGCCGCATCCAAGTCTGGATATAGGAAATTAACATGGGAATTGGTTTTTATTTTATGATATCTCCCCAGATCACTTTAAAGCTATTATTGAGTGATGCATTTGTGGAGGTCGAAGAGGGCTATCGGCCAGTATTTTTTTCAAATCGTTGTATCGCGCTCATTCACTGTAAAAAGGTTTTAAAAATCGTATTTTGAAATTCGCGCCCGATCCGATTTGTCACGAAATGTTCCGTCGCACCGTCGAAGTTCGGCGATCGCGTCTTTGGAATATCCATGCAAAATTCAAATGTCAAAGTGAAATTAGAAATTATTCTCAGAAATCAACGAACAACTCAAACTGAATTATTTTATCCAGTGTGATGATTATTGTAGGACAAATTAAGCGGAATAAATGTACAAATTGATCCATTCATTCGTCATAGTGCGCGACCCCGTCAAACGAGCCATCTCGAACTACACTCAGACCGTATCCAAAAAGCCCGAGATGAAGACTTCGAGCAGCTGGTCTTCCTCAAAACCCCATCGGCAGGATTGTAACATGTCCTGGGAGCCCTCAAGCTAGGAATGTACTCGCGCTGCCTCACTCAGTAATCACTGAACGACTCAAATTGAATTATTTTATCCAATATGTCGATTATTGTAGGTCAATTTAAACGGAATAAATGCACAAGCTGCACAGAATATTTTATTAGGTTATGTTGCTGGTGCTGGTCGAGTCTTTATTACTAAAATCTCATTAAAATGCCGTGTTCTACTGCGATTAGATGAAAAAGCGAGGGCCCGCTTTTCTTATTGTGTGATGATAAGATTTACCATCAAAACAGCTGGTGCTTTTGAAGAGAACCTTTTAATGAACCATTTAGATAACTACAAATAACAAAACTTAACAATTGTTGATGAATGAAGTAATGAAATATTGTACGAATCTGGAGAAGTATTGCACTATTTTCAAGAATTGCTCAAAAAGACTGCTCTCAGCAGCTGTACAGTAAGTAAGCCGATCTTCAAAACTTCTACGCGTGTTGATCAGCATTTGCGTTGCAATCTGAAGACAATATTTGTTGGACTGCTTGTTTCAGCGCGTCTCTGTTTGTATAGCTGGTATTGTTTGAATACAGATGGTCGTGAAGAAATCTCAAAAGAAAAAATTCCCAGGGATTTAGATCCCGCGAATGCACAGACCAATGGGCCGGTGCAAACTTTCCATTCCAACATTGCGGGAAAATACTGGTTCAAATAAACAACATTTATGCGAGCTATATGGCTGGAGATTTGGTCCTGGATGTAAAAGACCTGCTGCAGATGCCTCACCCTTCGAGTCCCAGGAAGTATTTGCTGAGCTAGCATATTGTCCTACTTCTGAGCATTCAATCTAGATTCGATTAAAAGAGGTGCAATGACATGATGTCCTAGAAGCCCCAGTCAGACACTGACAGTTGCACGCCATTAATAACGATAGTCATGGACCACGTGAGGGTTGTGTTATGCTAAAATTTGATCGTTCTGACGATTATAACTTCCGTTAAGAGCAAATGAACATTCGTCAGTAAAACAAATGTTCCTCAAAAACTCTCCATCAGCCTGGATTCTCTTAAGCATTCCTTCGTAAAACTCCCTACGTGAGAAGTAGTCCTCAGGCTTCAATTTTTTGTCATGATGCTTTTTGAAACTCTTCTATCCCATCTCTTTAAGATCCCTAGAAAACGTTGTGCCCACCTGATTTTATTTACTTTTTATCACCTTTGAAAATAAATGTAACTTTGTTTTTGAAATATTATTTTTATTTTTGTTGTTGTTAACACAATAAACAAATAAAACAGTAACACAAAAGTTTCTGAATCCCAAAACACATTCGTAATAGAGAAAAATACTTTAAAATGTTGATGAGTCAATGTTCTACATTTCTCTCTCAAAAATTTCTTGTAACGAACATGCTTCCAGGTGGCAAAAATTCCAGCCCTGCTTAACGAATGTAAACCCAATTGACTTCCAATCTTTAGTGATTCGAAAAAAAAGTGTGAAAATTTCCCAAATTACCTACTAATTAAATTAACCGTTGAAGAACAAGCAGGCCCTCGCTTTTTCATCTAATCGCAGTAGAACATAGCATAACCTAATAAAATATTTTGTACAGTTTGTGCAGTTATTCCGTTTAAACTGACCTGCAATAATCATCACACTGGATAAAATAATTCAGTTTGAGTTGTTCGTTGATTTCTGAGAATAATTCCTAATTTCACTTTGACATTTGAATTTTGCATGGATATTCCAAAGACGCGATCGCCGAACTTCGACGGTGCGACGGAACATTTCGTGACAAATCGGATCGGGCGCGAATTTCAAAATACGATTTTTAAAACCTTTTTACAGTGAATGAGCGCGATGCAATGATTTGAAAAAAATACTGGCCGATAGCCCTCTTCGACCTCTACAAAGGCATCACTCAATAATAGCTTTAAAGTGATCTGGGGAGATATTATAAAATAAAAACCAATTCACATGTTAATTCCCTATATCCAGACTTGGATGCGGCACCCTGTATACAAAGATTTGATATATGTACTTTTTGTAGCATTAATTAACATACTTGTTCCTTATTCATTGGTAAAGTTAAAAAAACGACACTGATGTGTACATTTTAAATATTTTTGTATTGTATAGGATAGAAAGAACATTTTCCGTATTGAATCCGGTACAATATTTTCTATATTTATTTGTATAATGTAGATAACACGAAGTTTTAATATTTAATTTTATTAATCTTCCTAAATTTAATACACTACTTGAATTATTAATTTATAATTTAAAATTTTAAGTGTTTTCTAATTATGATTTTTATAATGTTATCGATCCTATTCGTCGATAGCGGAGCTTGTGTTTGCTTTAAGTTACGGACGCAAACAAGCGTTAAAGAAGTTTCAGGAAAGTTTAAAATTTATATCATTACGTACTAATGGTTGCTTAATTAATAAATTAACAAATAATGGAGTTGTTTATTTAAAAAAAAAAAAAAAACTAGAAAATTACACACGTAACCTCTATGATTGATAAATAATATTTGAAACGACCGGACACAGCCGTCATTAAAATAATTAACTATTTACCATGAATATGCAGAAGTGTAACGAACTCATTTAATATTTAGATTTCTATTTCCAAAAATTTCCGTCAAAGTGGGGTTGCGTGTTTGCAACAGAATTATAAATTGGCAACAATTAACCACCAAATGAACTTCATTAAAATTTTAA